TCAGTGGCAGTGGACGAAGGTGGTGCTATGTGCGTGAAACAGAGTCTCTTGTGACCTGATTAGTGAAACTCTGAAAGCGTTGTCTGTGACACAGTGTAATTAATTACAGTGGACAAAAATGTTGACTTCAAGTGGAAACCAATACCTGCGGCCAGAATATCTAAACCCTCTACAGGGACAGTCAATTGAGGTAAGTTTATTAGTTTTGTTTACGTGAGTTTGTCACTGGCGAGAGTTTTTTGTATGGAGCTGTCGACTTGTATCATGTCATACGGCTATGTTAGTGTGTTGATTCGTGCAGAATAAGTGGAAACAGTGAAGAACATAGCGCTCTCAGGAAGTGATAAAGTTTTCAAGAATATTACAAGCTGAACGAATGTCCATTCCTCTCTCGTCTTCCTGACACCACGAGATCGCGCGTCCGTCAAAAGTGCGTGCTGTGTTTTGGCATTTCGGGAATTTCGGAAGACGTATTGTATAGTAAAGTATTTGGGGACGGTTTCTGTAGCCTTCTTTTAAGCCATGTGCGTCTTTGCGCGACTTGCGTTTGAAACGCAAACGTGACGTAACTTTGCGACAAAATTAAGAAATATCATTGAATAAGACAGTCTGTTGATATTTTTAAGTATGTTATAGATGTCAATTGGAGTATGAGTGTGTTTTACTTTTTTCAAACTTGTCAATAGAGAATGGCAACTTTATTTTACACCAAATGTATAAGTTGATAAGAAGGAAAAGTCTCGCTCTCGGTGTCTGAACCACGTGCGATGCGAAGGCAGAAAAAATGTTAGTATTTTTTTCTTAAATTATTATCTTATTTTATGCTTTTGCATTTCCACGTGTGAGTATCCTCCCTCAGAAATTGTATTTAATAAGTGTTAACCTTTCGTGCGATCGGTTGGCGCCGCGTTGCATTGAGAGCTCACAGCCTCAGTTCTGATGTTTCCCTTTTCCATCTTGCAGCTGGATGCCAAAAAGTCCCCTTTGGCACTCCTGGCGCAGACATGCTCGTCTATCGGCGCGGACTTGTCCCAGAAGGGCAGCATCCCCCCGGTCGAGAAGAGCTCCAGCAAGGGCAAGTCCTCCCCCGGGGCGAAGTCTCCGGGCGCCACACTCACCATTACGCCGTCAGACGACACCAAGACGACCACGTCTTCGTTCAAGCCCTACGAGAAGAAGAAGGACGACGATGAAGAGCGCGTGAGCCCTAAACGGTCCTCGCCCCACGCTCGCTCGCCCCACGCGCGGCAGCCCAGCGCTGAACGGTCCTCCTCCAGAGGGAGCGAGAGTGGGAGGTCGTCCTCGCGGCCCCACGACCCTCCAACCTCGTCGTCCTCCTCCTCGATTTCCCCGCGAGTGTCCTCCCCAACCACACCAAAGATTTCCTCGTCGCTGAGCTCGTCACACAGCCTCCCCGGCCTGGGGGACCTCAGTAAGGACCCCTTGGCCGCCTACAAGTTGGCACCAAGTCTCTATCCACACCTGGCACTAGGCCTTGACCCGCTCGGCGCCGCAGGACTCTCAGCTCTCACAGCCAAGGTGAGTCTCGGCTTCGAGGACGACCCTCTTGTGTAGTAAACAGTGTAGTGTGTAAAGTAGGACAGTTTTCAATATCGAGTAGAGTACGAGAAGTATCGATCTTAGGTTGAATTATAAAACTTACATTCGAGTTTTAGTTATGGTTTAGTTATATGGGGGAAAATTAAGGAAATCTGGAGAATTTGCTTTGTCGTTTAAAGATGTATCCAATTCATGTCTTTAGACTCAACCTTGCAAAAAAATAATTGAAACTGTCAAAAGTGACATTATGCTTATGTTATTACGCTAAAAAATACCGACGAAATGTATTATAAAATATATTTAGTTTAGGATGCACTAAGTCTTAAATCAAGTTTTTTGTTCGTGCTGAAATAATGCCTCAAAGATAATTAACGATTTAACGATGGAGAAGAGAAAGCATATGCTGGTGAAAAACAAGTCTCTGAATCGTCTTTTTTGCTGCCTCCCTCCAGGTCCCCCCCACCAGCACCGCGGCGGCACTTTCCAGTCCCTACATCGGTTACGCGCGAGTGAAGACCGCAAGTGGCAGCGAGACAGTAGTGCCAGTCTGCCGCGACCCTTATTGTGCAGGGTGCCAGATCAACGCCCACGCCGCCCAGGTGGTGAATGGCACTTGTCCGCCCGGATGCACCCAGTGCGCCCAGATCGCTGCTCACACGAAGAATCTTAGTTCGCTACCTGGTCTTCTCCCAACGCTGCCTGCTTCGTCTCTGTAAGTTTTAGGATGCAATTTTTTTTTTTTTTTTTGAGTAAATTATCTGAAAATGTTACTCTTATATTATCTTCGTTCGTTCGTAACATTGCTTTAGAAGCCACGAAAGATTCTATGTTTGGTTTGCTAAGTCCCCTCCTCCCCTTTGCAGCAGCGGCCTGTACCCCCCTCCTGGCCTCGTCGGCGGGTCGCACCAACCCTACGTGTGCAACTGGATAGCGGGCGACA